CTCTTTATTGTGTTTTCCCACAAACGTTTCAGCAGGTCAGCAGTTAAGTTTGCAGTTTTAAGAAACAAAGCATCAGATGAGAGTGGATTTTATCGATGGTGAGAAGCAAAGAAGCTGATTTTGAGTGCGAGTGCACTGCACATTATCGTCTGAATTGTGTTAAGCTCTAAATGGGAACACTTACTAACAATTTGACTTTAACCTTGACTCATGAAACAAGGCTCCATGTGTTGAGTGCTGTGGTGTAACTGATTTTGTAAGACTGTGCAAAGGCTGCCTAATGAGAGGTAATTACTTCATGATCCTAATTGATGTGTCAGTCAAGGCTTAGCATTAAGACCACAGACAATCCTCTGTTTTTGGTACGTACAAACAAACACAATTAACTTTTAAAGACAACACCACTAACAATGTTAAATGTGCACAAAAACAACATTTACAGGGTAACTCAAATCTTTGATAATGTCCCTACCGTTCTCATTTTTAAAAATAAATTTTTCTGACCACACAATGGGTTTGTCGTCAAACAATCAAGATGTGCTTGAAGTGCAGACTTACAGGTTTAATTCAAGGGGTTTAACAAAAGTATTCCATTAAACTTTTACATGTTACTGACATTTTTATATGTAATCCCTCATTTTTAGAGGTTCTAAAGTAACTAGCCCTCCTTTACAAAAGTAAAGAATTGCTTTGCTTGAACCCACTGACATCACCAAATGCTGTGTTTCCTCTGTTGAGATGAACTGCAGCCACTTTCCATTGCTGTGTGTTTGTAGGTCTCTTTGAACTGAACTGAAAAGCATGAGCCATTGGTTTAAGATCAGGTGACTGGCTTGCTTACTGAAGAATATCTCATTTCTTTGCCTTGAGAAACTCTTGGGGTTGCTTTTGCAATATGCTTTGGGTCATTAACCATTTGCATTGTGAAGCACTGCCTGATCAGTTTTGCAGCATTTGACTGAGCATAGCCCAGTAAACCTTTGACTTTATTCTGCTATTTCTAGAAGCAGTTTCATCATGAATATACTCTAGTCACAGGTTCAATTGGCAACCATACATTTGCATGCTATAAGATTGCCTTCACACCATGTTTGACAGATGATATGGTATGCTTCACATCATTAGATTCTCTTTCCATCCCTATGGGTTCTGCTTCCCATCATTCTGATACAAGTTTTATTCATCCAAAGACTACACACACTCTTTTAAACATATTCTGGCCATGTCCAATCCGACCTTCTTGACTTGAATATCATAAAAGGGTTATTCTTAACCAAAGAAACAATTCTGTGACCATGAAATAACGATCTCTCAAGCCTTTTTAAGAATTTGGCTATTTAGCTGTCTTTCTGAATGTTTCACCCTAATAATGGCCTAACTTCCCTTCCTGTGGTCTCTTTGGACCTCATATTGATAGTACCAGTCACCAGTCACCACATCAAGTTCAAAGCTTTTAATTAATTCTAGCTCTTAATATATAAAGTTTTTGTCTGTCCACACACTCCTTCTAGACAATCAATAGGTGACCAACCAAACTTGCCACACAGGTTCATCTTAGGCCTCTGAAGGTTTTTGTCTACATCAGGTATTATGATACCATCATGCTGCAACTGCTTAGCAGCCAGCTAAAATCACGAATTTTTCAACACTTTATAAAATATAAAAAGGGTCACATCATATCAATTTTACAGCCAACAGTGCAAACAGGCCCAGCAGTACTGTAGCATGGGCATGTACTAGTCTGTTTAATTTGGCATAGGATCATGAGGGACAGACCTTACTTTGCTATGAATCTCCTTGTCAGTAAATTCACCAATTGCTTTTCAGCCCCTTTAAAATTGAGGACTGGTATACTTGTAAAACCCCTTAAATTAAAGCTGAAAGTCTGCACGTCGATTGCATCTTGACATTTGATTTCAAATCCACTCCAGTGGTGAACAGAGGCAAAATTACAAGCTGCATCACTGTCGGAGTGAGTACGGACCTGTCCATGCACTTGCAGTTGTACACATCAAACTGTCTTTCTTGTATCTAGTCTAGGTGTAGAGTAAGTGATGCCTGTATGGAAGGCATGCGTCTTCTTTTTTTATTCTTTTTTTTTTTTATTTTCTTTTTTGCTTTTAAATTAAACACAGCATGCTTATACAGATTGAACTGAGGACAATTACTACATTTAGCATTAGTGAACTTATAAGCATGGAAAAAAAGAAGGAAAAAAAGGAGAAAAAAGAGGAGGGAAAAAATTATAGCAATATTAACTAAATAAAGAGTAAAATAAAATAAAATAAAATAAAATAAGAAAAAATTCACGCGGGGTGTGAGGCATAAATTATGATCAGTTAATTTTTAAGAATTCTAGAAATGGCTGCCAAATCATACAAAAACTCGCCAGTTTCCCCTTTCTATCAAATCTTATCTGTTCACCCTGGCCACAGACACCATCTCATTAAGCCACCTTTTAAAACACGGGGCCGAAGAAGACCGCCACTGTAAAAGCATACGTTTCTTTGCCACCAGCATACCCATTGTAATTATCTGTTTTTGTGAAAAGGAAAAGGATTCGATTGATGCAAATGATCCAAGTATAGCCAGTGTACCATCAAGTGGTACTTTTTTCCTAAATTGGTTTGGAAACCACGTAAGAATTTGGCTCCAAAAAGCTTTCAAGACAGGGCAATGCCAAAATAGATGTGCAAGGGAACCTTCACCGATATTACAGCTATCACATAAGTGGGATACAGAATTTTTAGTTTAAGTTTAGAAAAATGTAATCTGTGAATGACTTTAAACTGGATTAATTTATATCTGGCGTTTA